CAACATGTCTTCAGCTTTGCTGTTTGGTGTCTCGGGTCTGTTTGCTTGGCTTGTTCACGTCATCTCTCAGGACACATGGTCCCAAAGGGCAGAGAGGAGGTCAGAACATTGTTACAAAGGGTCCCATCAGGACCCCTTCTACAGCAGTGATGAACGGACAGTGTGGTATTCACTTAATCTGGTGTCAATTTAAGGATGAAGAGTGTAGGGGTGGAGTCGAGGCTATCAATCTGGAGATAGCCAATGAGACTTCTGTGGGCATGGCCTTCTCCTGAGAAGTCTGGGAAATCTGGTACTTCCTCCTTGGAGGTGGAAAACCTCTCTCTCTCTCTCTCTCTCTGCTACTCCCTGGGACACATTGCAGAAAACAAGCCACATGGATGCAACCAGACCTCGGAAGCCAGAGAAGCCACAGAGAGACCCCTGCCAGCACTGAGATGCTTACAAGGCCACTGGACCCAAAGACTTTCTACCCACTGACTTGTGATCATCCTGCATTTGGCTTCATTGCATGTGTTTCATGAGTCTAAAGAGGACTTTATAGATTGGTATTGGACATATGGGCTAATATCGGACTTGTGGACTTGATCTGGACTAGGCTGGGATGTTTTCTCAATGTTCAATTGCTCTTGTATATAAATCTCTTTCTTATACACATATGTGTGTCCCTGGATTTGTTTCTCTAGCCTACACAGACTAACACAGATAGTAAGAGAGTCTTGAGATACGTGGAACTTCCATCTAACAATGTACAAAATGATAATATAGTTCATTTCATGTTGTAAAGTCATAGAAATGCAGCCGTTGTATTGTGTGTTGTCTCTTTAAATCAAGGCACATGCTCCAAAAATGGTCTACAGTAATACCTCATTTCATTGCACTTTCCTTTGTTATACTGCACAGACTTGGCATTTTTGTTAAACAAGTTCAAGGTCGGTGGCAACCCTGCATCAAAGCAGTCTACTGGTGCCATATTTCCAACAGCAGGGGCTCACTTCAAGTCTCTGCATCACATTTTCATAACCGTCACACTATTCCACCTTTTCACAATGTTACTGAACACTCAATATACCATCATATAGGGTAAATATAGTTTTCATATGCATTTGGAAACCCAAATGTTCACATGATTGGCCTTCTTGTGATACTTTATTGCAGTGGTCTGGAACCACACCCACAGGATAGCCGAGGTCTGCCTGTTTGTACATTGTTAATATATGAAAGACTTTTGTGAATGGACAAGGGAAAAATCCTTCCTCAACAAGTGCCAATAACAATCAGGCTATCAGGAACTCCTACTACATCTTTTCTCACTCCGTGCCATTGTATAGAATTTCAGCTGAAATAACATTCCAGTAGACATCTGGCAAAGTCTTCCCTCCATGCCTAACCTCAAACCTCTCAGGTTCACAGGACATCACCAAGGGCAATTTATGTGAATCTGATGATGACCTTGCCACGTCCTTTTACACACAAGGAAATGCGTGTCCTTTGTCACACATGCAAAGGAATGCAGCGGATGTCACATGACATTCATACTGGACCCGAGTTTGGCCAAATGCATTCTTAGGAACATACCTTCCATTTTCCGCTTTGTTAAGGCCGCCCTGTAGACTGGTTGGCTCCGTCCCTGGGAATTCATGGACTGCAAGGAGACCACATACACCGACTCGGAGGCTGCAGACCAGAGAGCAGAGGGGACCAAAGAGAATAAGAATGTGCTTTGGTTTTCTCAGGAGCACACATCACACCTCCTTTCCATTGAACCTCTGAGAACTTCCCCACGTCTTAGCATCCCTGGAGGTGCAGTCTGCTCAGCTGCTAACAAAAAGGTCGACATAATGAATCCAGTCAGAGGGACCTTGGGGGGAAAATGACCTGGCAATGGATGTCAAAACTCAGCCATTGAAAACCCTGGGGAGCGCAGTTGGACTCTGTCACACTTCAAGTCACCCTTGTCACCCTGGCAACTGGCTTTTGTTTTATAAGAAAGGACATAAAGTTAGAAGACTTGAGTGCCCTGCTCCAGATCACACACCCCTAAGAAAACACCTTAGGATTTCCCCTAATCTTTCTTGAATAAAGAATTGCTAATGCCTTACTCAAGAAACCCCGGTGGGCTGCTAACCGCAAGGTCATCAGTTTGAAACCATCAGCCTCTCAGCAGGAGAAAGATGAGGCTGTCTACAAGCCTTGCAGCCTGGGAATCCACGAGGGTGTTTCCGCCCTGTCTTAAAGAGTCACGTTGAGTCAAATCAACTTGATAACAAGGAGGTTTGTTTGCTTGTTTGTTTTCATGCCTAACTCTAGACTCCATGGACCATGATTCCTGTAGCCAGCCTCATACATTAAAGAATCAAAATGAGGTAGCCAGATATATGTCAAGTGCTGATAGTTATGTCATCTGATAATGCATGGGTCAATTAATAGAGGTGACGCCAAGTCTCCAAATAAAATTTATCATGCCAGGACTCCTGCTCTGCACATGGATACACTTTAGGAAATAAACCCTGCATTTTTACAAACATCATATGGAGTCAAAAATTAAAACAGACTTGTGTTCACAAAACTGCTACAGAAAGACCTATTTATGTGAAGGGAACTGAGATCGCAAGGGAAGAAGTTAGAATGTGACAAACTGCTCTAAAAGCTCCACCAGGGAAGCTCCAGCCATGACATGAGCACGTGATGTGCACAAAGGCATGCACAGCTTCGTCTCCCCGAGATTTTTGAAATGTACTTAGCAAATGGAAGAGTCACGTTTCTAGCACTTGGATTCCCAGAACCCCCACGTGAGCTAGACGGAGGAGGAACTTCAGCTCTGGTCATGTCTTAGAGCTATTGATGATGGAAGCCTGCCAAGAACAAACACAAAGACCTGCCACTCAACTTCAAAATCCCGGAGCACATATAAAGCGCTACACGTGAGAGGCTATCGCCCGTCATTCACCAAGCGCCAAGAAGAAGGAACTAAATCCCCACATTGAAACACCTACATATTTACAAGGTGCTTCTTGAAGCTCTCGTTTGGAGGGTGGGGCAGGGGGGTTCTCGGATTCTTGATTTTCTGTGGTCTCAAAAGTAACTTCTGAGTTATGTGAGGGAAATGTGGTTCCTGGTTTGGAGGAAGTCTCCTCAGAAGTATGAGCCTGTGATGTTCAGAAGACACGGGCTAGCTTGCTGAAAGTGGAGAAGTACTTAAAGTCTTCTTGGAAAAAAAAATTTTTTTAAACTTAAAGTCTTTTGATGTAGACCCAAGACTACTGCCTTCAGTAAGTATTACACCTCAGTATAAACACAAAATCCTCACAACTGGACCAATGAGCAGCATCATGATAAATAAAGGAAAGACTGACGTTGCCAGGGATTTCATTTTATTTGGCTCCACAGTCAGTGCGCACACAAGCAACAGTGAACAATTGAAATGGTGTATCTATCACACGGGGCAGGTCTGCTGCAAAAGGCCTCTTTGAAGCGTTAGAAAGCAGCGATGTCACTTTGCAGACTAAGCCATAGTATTTCAATCTCCTTATAGACATGCAATAGCTGGATAGCCAATAAAGAAGACCAAGGAATTAACGTCTTTGAATTATGGTCTTGGTGAAGGACAGTGACCGGACTGCCAGGAGAAATAGCCAGAATGATCCTTAGAAGCAAGGGTGGCAAGACTCCGTCTCTTATAAAGACATGCTATTGGAAGGGACTAGTCCCTTTATCATGCTTGATAAAGTAGAGGGTTAGCCAAAAGGGGAGACCCTTAAGAAGATGAATTCACACAGTCACTACAATGATTGGCTCAAACATAGCCATCCTTGAGGGGATGGTGCAGGGCCAGTTAGTGTGTGGTTCTGCAGTACGTAGACTTGTTAGGAGTGAGAACCACCCTAACGACGACGCCTAACAATGACAAAACTAAGCTTGGTTGATCATTATAGAAACACTGTACCACAGTGAACCCTAATAACAACTCCGTGTATTGGTAAGTCTGTATTTGGTGGTAAGAATTTCACAAACAACTACTCTCTGAGTCCTGACACACGAGTACACCCCACAAGGCTCAGAGTGGACTAGTGACCAGGGCAAGGTCATGACCAATAAGTGGCAGAGCCAGGCCTCAAATTCAGGTCTGTATGGCTCCAGAGCCCATACCCTTTATTGACACAGATGAGGTGCAGTGTCCAGCTAAATGGGCGCTGGCCCTGTTGGGACCTAGGAATCTACCTGAGAAAGTCCTGGGGAGCTGGACACACAATATCATCTTTTCTTAGCGATATAATGAAAAATATGCAATGGTGTAAAAATGTCTGTCTTTGGATTATTGGATAAAGGGTGGAGTTACAATGCCCAAGATGATCCCTGCACCCCTAATCCAGTAACCCCCAAGAGCCCCTGTCAGAGCCAACATGCTGACCCAAGTCTCTGACCTCAGATAGGTGATACACCCCAGAGTCTCAACTCTCAGAGGACTGCCAACCTTCTCATTCCTTATCACTACTCCCTTCTACCTGGTACTTTCAGTTTCTTCCGTCAGGAACACCCTCTTAACATCCCATGCCCACTCTCTTACCTCTACAGGTCTGCTCAATTGTTGTCTTTCCTCTTGGGCCTTATATGGCCATGGACTGAAAGCTGGCTCATCCCAGCGCTCCATCAAGTCCCATACCTGGATCCGTTCACCCTAGGCCTATCCTGCTCAGGATCTGCTTATTATCTGTCTCTCTGAGGGACTGCCGGGCCCCACAGAGCACCTAGCTTAATGCCTAATTAGAAGGCATCCAGTGAGGCATGCCTGATTTGTGACTGGAAGTTGGGACATCTGCTGACCAGACTGCAGGCCAGTTTTCTCTGTGTCTGTTTAGGATTGGATCATTGTCGGCAGTAATCCATTTCCTTTGGCATCTCTGGGTTATACGATAGATGAAAGGCCCGTGCCTCTGTGCTATAAGAGTAGCTCCTGGGAGGTAGGCCCTGTCCACGGCCTAAAGGTTAAAATGATGGGAGGCTGGGACTGGCAGATGGAACAAAGAACAGCTGTTTGAAAAATGGTAAATGTCTTTAAAAATGAACCCATTATAAGGAGCTATATGTGACCCCCTCCCTGGGGGACGGACAACAGAAAAGTGGGTGAAGGGAGACGTCGGACAGTGAAAGATATGACAAAATAATAATTTATAAATTATCAAGGGCTCACGAGGGAGGGGAAAAATGAGGACCTAATGCCGGGGGCTTAAGTGGAGAGGAAATGTTTTGAGGATGATGAGGGCAATGAAAGTACAAATGTGCTTTACACAATTGATGTATGTATGGATTGTGGTAAGAGTTGTATGAGCCCCTAATAAAATTATTTTTTTTTAAATAACACATAACATTAAAAAATGAAAATTATATCTGAAATTTCATGTTCAGTAGGAGATGCTTCTAAATACTGAAACAATGGCAACATCTCGACATATTGAATTCCAATCACTCACAACTCACCGAGCTTTTTAATTTCATGTGTTCGCTCATCTCTTGTCAGTGGGACATAATTCATCCTCCGGCCACTTTCCCCATAGCCCAGAAGAAAACCTCGCGATCTTCGTGGACTCTTGGCTCCGGATAGTCGCGGGGCTTTCCACTGGACAGAGAGCTTGTCATCTGAAGATCGGACCCGCATGCGCAAGGGCTTGTTAGGCACTTCCTTTTCTTGAAAGGGACAGGACACAGATACCGTCAGACAGGACCTGACCTAGACTTTACCGTGCTGTACATTAATAAGGGCTGTCCACGGACGGAGCCATGGCAAGTAGTAGCTAAGCTTCAAACACCAAGAGTTGGTAACTGGTTCTAGTAGGAACATTTTCTCCCCAAGGATATCAGCGCTCCATCCACATGTTCCTCCTGTATTTCATACCAAGAGGCCTCAGGAACTTAAAATGAAAACATCCCAGGCTAGGAAACTGCCGGCTAGAACTGTTGGATGCTTTATAACGTTCTTTTTCATCTCCTTCCTTTTGCCCCCATAAGGCCCAAACTATATATGCCCTGGCATGATTTAAAGGTCATGTAAAAATAGAGCAGAAACACATTATGTGTTATTTACAACTGTCATCCAGAAATCTTTTTTTTATTGTGATGTTGGAGAGATGGCTGTCTTTGCCTTTACATGAATTACTAAGAATTAAATACAAACTCATTTCTCGTTTGGATTTTAATTTTTTTTTAACGTGTCTAAATCTTGTCCCTGAAGACAAACTCTGGCTATGTCTGGTCTCGGTCTCCTTTCTGTTGTTTTCTTCTTGCTTAGTTAATCAATTTCAAGCAATCCTCTTGCTAAACTATCAATTTCAAGATATGCTAACTTTCTCCAGCTGGTACATCTTTTGGCCAATACTTGGTGTTTAAAGTTTTGCTTTTACATTAATTAAGAGCTGATCTTTTGGGAGAAAAAAGAACTTAAGTCATGTAACCACCATGATGTTCATTTCTAACAAAGTATCTTAATATTGTAGTACTTATTTGGAAATCAATATAGGCTAATGCATGTCTGTCTAAAATGATTTCCCAAGCATGTTCTCCCACTATATATGCTAATGGAATTTAATGAGACTGTAAATTCCCAGCTAAACTTGCACATCAACACCAAAACATAAAAACAAAAATTAATGAAAGAATTAGTCTAGTCTTCAATGACAATCAATAGTCATTTAAGATGCTTATTACAAAAATAAGACACCCAGTTCCACCTTTCTAATTCTAACCAAGAGGACTATTTATTTGTAAGTCAGTTGAAGCTACTTCACCAATCCCTGAGCACCCACTGTTAAATACTTAATAAGCGAATGCCATGTATATGGTTACACAAATATTCTTCCACAGAGTAGTAATTAGTCTAGTTATTTGCTAATATACCCAAAGGACTAACTATACAACACTTGGTCTTCTATGTTGGTATCACAAGTGTGATTATGTTGGTGGGTGGGTTATTAATCTGGACTCCTGTCACTTTCAAAGTCTAGTCTGTATAAAAACCGGGAGTATCCAAGTGATTGTAAGTAGGACAAATGTGCTCATTTACAGATTTTTTTTTAAAGTCTTTGATATTGATAGTCACACTCATTAATAATGAAGCCAACCAGTTGATTAATCCGATGAGTTCCTATTTGGGATCTCTTGTTTCATATTCATTATAACGTGCCAGCCAAGGTGTCTACAAAGACGCAGATTCCCAAATCTGTGACACAGTTATCCATGGTGGCCGTGTCATAGAAGTGGGCATGGGGGTGTCTCTGCTGAGCAGCTCTTGTTTGAAGCTGAGGTAAGAATTTTTACTTTGATATTGGAGGGATTCTTTTCCTGTAAAGAATATCTTAGGAAAAACAAAATTTAGACAAGGAGCAACATGTTCGGTCTCATTTAAGAGCAAGAGAGCTTTTGTTTTTGTTTTAAGGCAGATATTTGCAGGCAGTTAACCAGCACAAAATACCTAACAAGTTTAATTTCTCAAGAATCGTGTTCATGTCATTTTGAGGATTTTGTAATATGACAAAATAAATGTCACCTGCCCTGTGCATGGAGACAGAGGCCTGGCGAGAAAATTCCCAGGGAAACAAAAACCTGGCTAAACCTCTCTTCATGCCGCTAAGTTCTTCTTCCTCTGTGTGTGTCTCTGATTCAATCTCATCATCATCACAGAAAGTCAGCATCAAGAGCCTCCTCTTGAGTGATACTTGAAGTTATCAGCCACAGTCCATCTGTAGCTCTGAGGGTCGATCACCTGAGATTGGGATTTAACGTCACGGACTGCCCAGCTTTGGGCAAGGGTCATGGCTATGTAGAAAGGAAGAAAAACCGCCAATAAGGTAAACATTATGTCTACCAATCATCTTTGAGGTTCATTTTACTTTGGTGAAAAACTCATCCCTCTTCAAGGGTTGGAAAGGACCATGCTCACAGTCTTTGGGTAGAGCCACAGGTTACCACTCAACACCAGGGCAGCAACGACTGGGACAGACTCCGTGATGCTGCCATGGACGCACTGGTCTCGATGCCTCCCTGCCTAGAGCCTCCATCACAGAAAACAACAGGTCCACCGGGGTGCTGTGGAGTGATCCCCAGCAAAATGGGCGGATTCACTTCAAGCACCAGCCTTAAGAGGGTCTCCTAGAACAAAAGAGCCTAAGCCGAGAACGAATTCTCTGCCCAAGGTCCTGCTCCAGTCCGGGACCCCCTCCCACCACCCATGCTCATGTGAAACAGTTTCCTGGGACCGCGGTATCAGCACTGGTGCAAAGCACGTCCTGACCTTGGCAGACCCTGACACGCAACAGCAAAAGACTGAAATGTTTAAAAATAAATAACTGAAAAGATCATTGGATTTTCCTGAAGTGATGGTCCCAGAGGAGAAGAAGGGATGAAGTTCCAAGGACAAGAAGTTCTAGTAACAAAAGGCAAAACAAGTTTCTTGTGCGAGGTGCCCAGCCCGTGGTGCTGTCCCAACAGAGCCTTCAGAGGCCACCCCAGGCCCACGTAGTGTAAAGCCAGTGACAAGAGAGTTCAAGAAAGTGGCCAGGCCTCCCCAGCAAGCGAGGGGGCAGACAGGCCACGGCTAGCTTCTGCAACCAACCTCATCCCTGTTTTACATAAAACCTTATACCTGGGAAGAAGCTCTCACCTGGTCTATTTTAATGATATCCTTGCAATCACTTCGAGGTGAGTAGGGTAGATATTCTTATCCCCAGGAGCTAAGTGAGGTGCATCAAGGTTCGGTAACTTACCGGTGGTCACACAGCTGGTAAGGGCAAAGTAGGAACCCAAATCCAATCATCCGGACTCCAGAATCCATGCTCGTCCAACTATGTCACTTCCCACCATCTCATCAACCACCCAGCCACTTCTGCAATTCAGTGAGGAACAAGTGTTTGGAGCCTGGCGGTCCCCTTCAGAGTGTGAACATCATGCCTTGCCCAGTAGGCCCTGAAAGCACGTGTTAAACTGAATCTGACAGGATGTATACTTGCTCAGCAGGTAGCTGAATATAGTTGGAGCTCCCAAAACTACCCAGCAAGAACCGTCCGAATCATAACAAGAATCATTGTCTCGGGAAAACCCACAGAAGAATGGAGGACATTGCCATGCTAAACATAGCAGTCTATCTTTCAAATCTCTGGTTTTAAGAAAACCCACCACATTTTTTTTCTACCAAATATTTTGAAAACTCTCTTTTTAACATTCTGCGTTTTAGAAACCGTCAAGCATCTTTCATAAACCATCTTGTAATCCTCTTTTAAGTTAATGGCACACGTCAGAAACAAAACTCTCCAGATGTTTCAGATTTGTTCGCAATTAAGTTATTCCAAAGTTTGCTCTAAAGTCTATATGGTATTTTCACCAAAGACTTTGAATTTTCTAATAAATCTAAGTCTTTTATCTTGAAAACAGGAAGTCGCACGTGCCAAGAGTTATCGAACTCACATGTTGAGCGCATTCTGAGTTTGGCAGAACGCATTCCCTTCATCTCTCTTGATATAATCAGGTAAATCTTCCTGAGAACTAATCAATAGCAGATGATCTACAGCAATAATTCCACCCTGTCCACTTGGCAAGCCAGCTGGGGGAAGCAATGTATTGTATTCTATTGTATTGCTTATTAGACAGCAATTAGACATCAGAAAGCCAAACGGGGGTTAGACCATTCCTCCTGATTCCTATCACCAGCAACGCAAGCTGTCAATGATTGTGAAATTGTAGAGATACCAAATCTGCTCTTTTCACAAAGAAAGGAAAGTCCAAAACTCAGCGCCAGGCTTTGCCCGCTTGCAATGACATGCCAGTTAAACTCCACGCCAGCTCGTGGATTGGGCTGACACAGACTAGGTCAGGGTTGTTTGAATCCGAGTCCATGACTTACTGGCTCTGGAGCTTCCAGGAGCTTCTCCGAACCTCCGTGTGTTCTGTACAGAAGAACAGCACAGCACACCAGGCGTTGTGACAGAAGCCATAGGAAACATTGTATGCAGTCCCTAGCATATATTGCCCGGCAAACCCACAGCCACAGGATTGCTTGTGACTCAGGGTGACCCTATAGGACAGAGGAAAACAGCTCCTTCTTGGGGAATCTGAGACTGTCAATCTTTACGGAAGCAGACAGAAGGGCATAGATTAAGTAGTCGTTAAGCATGAGTTAAGGAGGCCTGGTGGAGCAGTAAGGAGCACTTAACTGCTAACAGAAAGGGTGGCAATTCTAACCCACCAGTCTCTCCTGGGGGAAGAGACCTGGCCGTCGGCCCCCATACGGATTACAGGCTAGAAAACCCTCTGAGGAGGGTCTTCTGTGTCACCTGGAGTCACTATGAGATTAAATTAGCCCAACAACAACCTGTGTTAGTTGTGATTGTGATCAACATGAAACCAATCCTCCATGACACTCTCGAGAGTAGTGGGTGTGAGTGCAACACAGTACTTACCACAACGCTCTGCACTAGAAAGGGTTGACTGGTCCAGGCATAAGCTAACAAGAAGGACATACTTGCCAAAGTCTCTTCATATTGAAAATCCTTCCAAATATGAGCCTGTGTATAGCGAGCTGACTCTTTTTCTCACCATTAGCTGAAAGCAGTACCATGGTCCTCAGGAGCACCAACAGAGAGCCGTTATCAACGACTCTAAGGCTCTACTCTGTTGGCATGGGAAAAAGAAGACGGAAGCTGCTGTCTGGGAACCAGCTCTCTGCTCTGAGTGGGTCTGAGCTACAGGACTCTTCTCCTTTTCCAGCAGCATGTGGGCATCACTCAGCATATCGCTTTGAAGAAGTAGTTTATCCACTGCCCACTCTCCAACTTGATGGCCTACTGACCATCAATCAGCTGAATGTCCTGAGAGTCATAAAGATAGTCCTTCATTCCCTTCTGTCGGCTTAGGCTACGCCTCAGACACGCCTTCCTCCATCAGGACCCAGCCACATGCCAGATTGTAGACACTTTCAAGGCTTAGGAATGATAAGGAAGAGGTGGGAAGCATGAGAAGAAAAAAGAGATAGAGCAGAAAAGGGAAAGTGAAAATGTTGGAGAAAGATGGAGGCAGGCTGACACTTTTGCCCACTGCACTTTGATTTGACCTCCCTGACCCTGAGTCTGTGCTCTGGTGGCCCAATGTCAGTCATTGCAGGTTGGCAGGTGGGTCACGGCAAGCATCTCGCCACCTTCTATCTACTGATGGTTCATTCTTTCTGGGTGAGTTCTGACCCACGCTCCTCCCGAAACGCCTGGTAAGTGAAGCACAAAGCTCTTCCACACATCTCGCAGTTGCAATACATACGCTCAAGGCTCCCTTAAGGCCACATTTTCCTGTTTGACAAATAACTGTAATCAATACTCTCAACTACTTTCTAAATGAGCTTTCATGTGGTATTGGGACAGGCCCAGCTACTTAGCAATAATAAAGGGAACGAAATTCAAGCCAGGTTCAGAAGAGGACAGGGCATTCATTGTTGATGTCAGATAGCTCTTGGCTGAAAGCAGAGCATGTCAGAAGAAAGGGGTGTCAATCATAACAAATTACTTATAATATCTTAAAGAATAGAAATTCCAGAATGCTTCATGGTACTGAGGCAGAACTTATACATCGACCAAGAAACAGCCGTTCATTTAGAATAAGGGATATTACATGGTTTAAAATCATAAAAAGGGGCAACGAGGGAGAGGAGCTGACCTACCACACCACACCCAGAGGGAAGCTGAGACAAGAAGGAGGAGGAAAGGAGCGGAGCACAACCGGGCCCACCAAACCCGGAGGACGATGGCCCAGCTTGGAGGGCCCAGTGTACAGAGAGGACTGTGTGGCTGCCCCCACAGCGAGATGC